CCCTCGTCGCAGCAAAATTAATTAATTAATTAATTAAACCCACCAAGGAAAATTCATCCAGCACCTCATTTTTCCCCTCAGATGGCCAGTTACAATCTGAACAGTTCAGGGTTTGCCGGGTTCATCCATCGGAGGCACTTTGAAATTGATAGTTTACATCCCCTCTCACTTCTCTGTGTGTCTCTCTGTCTCTGTGTGTCTCTATCTCTCTGTCTCTCTCTTACACACAAACATACTCACACACACACAAACACACACACACACACACACACTGCAAGTTTTGCTTTGCTGCAAATACACGTGATGCATAAAGACTTTGCCAAGACGAACAACATTTTTCTTTTCCATACAGAAACCCATCCACATTTTGCTAGGGAAATATTTTGTTTGGGTAGTTTTGCGTTGGGGGTGAAACCTGAATAGCTGACTTTCTTCCTTTCCACCCTTTTAACTCACTGAATCGTATAGCTGCAAACTTTGTTTTAGAAAGGAAAAAAACAAGGTAAATTTAGGGAATAAATATGGTTTTGTTTTTACACTTGAGTTCCTAGGTACTCAAAGTCCGCGCTCGGCAGCACTTCAAGTTTTCAACTCAACATTACCACTAAAGGCCCTACATGCTCTTAAAAGATACTTTTCCACATCACTTTTTAGGATAAAAATTAAGATTCAAAATTATCTTTTTGTAATACCATGCGTGCTTTACCCAGTATATGCAACATTCACTATTTTAATGTTAAAAAACACATTTGCCCAACCCTGGTATTGCTAGATGTGCGAGTACGTACCGAAATGCATGCACACACGTTTTCCCATTGGCAATTATTTAATAGGTTGTTCCTTTTGTTTGAATAAAACATTGGGATCAACATTCTAAAAATTCAGTTCAATTACAAACAGTTTACTCTGACAGCAAATTGTAACGTTACCTTCAATGGCCACAAATATGCTCACAATATTCCAAGGAAAGAGACTTTAAAAAAAAAAAAAGAAAAAGAGAGAGACAAAAATCTTCTGCAAGTACTTAGTATCTCACATGTGTATCCCCTAAAACAGTATTTTAAGTAGTAGTCAGTCCTGTTCCAGGGTTAGCCACAGTTTACAAGATTATGCACCTGGCTCTGGTTTTTGCATTTTCCATCACAAAACTGTAACAAAATTCCCTTCCCCCCAAAAAGTAACCATTTAAAAAAAAATCCAACAACTTTTTCTTAGCGTTTATAAAAAAATAATCAACACAGGATAGTTATGATTGTTCTTCAGTCTTGTTGGTTGTATTGTTTTTCTTCTCTTTCAAAGTCCTAAACTTGTCCCAAGTTTAGAGGCGTCTCATCATCATCATCCTCCTCAACACCATCATTGACTCCCCCGAGGAGTCACATTGATAATAATAGGTTTCCCTGAAAGATACATTGTAATCCATTCACATCCGGGCACTGCGGCTTATAACGAGAAGGCGCTGCGGCCGCGGCTGCTCCACCAGACAATGACTGGGGAGGGGCGGGGCGGGAGCGCGCGACCATAGAGTGGTAAACACAGTGCCTAGAGAGGCCACCAAGATGGCGGCACGCTGAGCCACGCCTCCTCCGAGAACAGGGGCGGTCCGGCCGGCGGGTGGCTTTCGGGTCGTCTCTCCCAGAGCGCGCCTTGCGCCCTGTTCCGTGTCCGGCCTTGGTCTCTGACTCAAAGTGTTGTTCCCTCAGCTTGAAGGAACTCTCCGGGAGGCCCGGAAGATGCCGGGCGGGCCACAGGCTGCCGAGTCCCCGGGCCGTGTGGATTAGAGCCAGGCTTGGGCTGTATGGGGAAAGGCCACCAAGCCAAGTGTGATCCAGGCCTGGAAGAGTGGCAGGGTAGGGTACTCTCCGCTTCCTCCTTGGTGCCCACCCCTATTTCTATAAGCTCCAAGGGTGAGAGAACTTAGTGCAGAAGTCTCCTTTTATTGATGCAAGACTCAATACTATAAATATGAAGGACTCAACTTCCAGTTGTAGCCAATTACCTTCTCAAACCTGTTTTCTTGTTAGCAGACAAAAATGAGACTTTGAGGTAACACTATGATACCGATAAAGGTGATACTACCACTTAAGAAATATCCTGTTTCCATCCCTAATTTCTTAAGGACTCACTGATACTCCTAGCCATTTGAGATTGTGGGTTCCCTGGGCCCCAAAGAATAGTGTCCAGTTTTCCCATCAGAAAGCTTATTCGTTTCTAGACATTGTTCTGAGAATTTCACAAAAATAGACTACATTGATGCTCAGAATGAAGTTTGAGTATTGGTCACCTCCTTACCTTACCTACACACAGCAACGGAAGCAAGTGCAATGGCAGAGCCTGACCCAAAGCAGAAGTTTATTAAATGGCATAAATTTGCCTAAGTAAAACTACTATCTACATTAAGGTGTAGAGCCCACCTAGTCTGTGACCAGAACCCACCTTCACCCATGCTCCCAAGCCATCTGGCATCCTCATCTCTATTTTCTGAATATAATTTGTTGCAGTGATAGAATTGAGATCTTTTGCTTTTATGTGAGTTTTTACAGGACAAGATTTGGGACATTTATGGGTTATTTCACACATCATGAAGTCTCCAGTCTTTTATCCCCATTCCACATTCTCATCTTAAAATAATATTTTACATTTAGCCACCACTTTATGTTGCATTATCACAGGCATTATCTCTGGTTCTCAGAGTAAGCCTCGGCAGGCCCCGGAAAAAATGATGTAATGAAAAGATCACAAACATTGGCTTGGGAAAAATATTCCATTGGCTCTACCTCTAATCAGCTCTGTGACCTAAGACTCCATGCCAATGACTTTTGCTGTAAAACGCAGAGACTAGATTAGATAATCCCGTAAAATCCCTTTTAGCTTTTAGGTTTGTAAGATTCACCCTCCTGAATTTCAAGGGCAGCAAATGATCTGTCCAGAAATCACTGATAAGATCAAGTTTGGGATCTAAATGCACCCTGCTAGCCTAGTATTTTTTTTTTCCCTCCTGACCCCTTTTGATCAAAAAGAAAAAGAAACATGCAACTCCCCTTCCTGTTTTAAATTAAGGGACAAATGTGGGTGTGTTAGTCTTTGTTTTTTCCTGAGCTGTCAGATGATAAGTACTTTCTAATTATACTTATGGAAATTGGAGGCACCTTAGAAAGGGGTATTTGAGAGGACACTGTAAAGCTTAGAAAAAAGAGTTGGTATACTGGGTAAATTTTTGGTCCTTCCTTGTTCTACAGACTCCCTTAGAAACCTGTCTGTATATCCTGATATGGATGTGGGTCTTAGTCAACTCCGGCTGCTGTAACAAAGTGAGATAGACTAGGCGCTTTGGACAACAAACATTCACTTTTCACAGTTCCAGAGTTCAGTGTCTGAGATTTGTGTGAAAGCATGGTCAGGCTCAGTTAGGATTCTTCCTTTTCCTCTTCCTGGCTTGCAGATGGCTGCTTTCTAGCTATATTCTCGTGTGACTGTCAGAAAGAGAGCTCTGGTTTCTTTCTCTCATAAAATTACTCATCCAATCATAGAGACTATCTATGACCTTATCTAAGCTGAATCTCTTCCCAAAGAAATATCTTCCACTTCCCAGCACATTGGGGCTTCGGTACAAGAGTGGGAGGTGGGAGTACAAACACACAAGTATTTAGTCTGTAAAAGAGTAGAAATGTATGTGGATGCCACATGATTAGGTCCAACCCTAGCCCAGCAGTCCCCAAACACTGGAGCACCGGAATAAAGAGCAACAAACCAACAGCAGTGAAGGTGAGTGGTGAAGTAGACATGTGTTGTGTGTGATCAGCTGGCAAGAGTTGGTACCAAGGAGCCAATCTACATGAGTGGCATGGCTCTACAAATCAGAAATCATGAGGAAATGGCTAAAACTGCTCTTTAGGTAAACAGAAAGGTCTTGGGAATTCCAAAAGAAGCATAGAAAATGAAATCCTAGCTAGGGCTGAGGCATGAAGTGTGTGTGTGTGTGTGTGTGTGTGTGTGTGTGTGTGTGTGTGTGTCCAGGAGTAGAAGACACCCTGCAATCTTCCTCTTCCTCAGCTGAGCTATCCTGAGAACTTCCTGATATTTACAGCTAAAGAAGAGTGTAACTGGACATGGGGCATACTTTAAATTCCAGTGTTACCAATATTACCATAACAGTATGAACTATGTTTTTAATTGAAATAGAATTGCATCATTTTCTGCAGTGCTGTGGTGGTGCACATGCCTCTAATCCCAGAACTTGGAAGGCAGAGGCAGGTGGATCTCTGTGAGTTCGAGGCCAGCATAGTCTACAGAGCTAGTTCCAGGACTACACAGAGAAACCGTGTCTTGAAAAAAAAAAGATAAATAAATAAATACTGTAAAAAAAAGAATTACATCACTTTCCCTTCATGATTTTCTCCTTCCAACCATCACAAATACCTTTGAATTTTTTCAATGCCACAATCTCAAGTTGGTAGCCTCTTTGATTATTATCATTATATACATATATGTGCATGTATATGTACGTGTGTGTGCACAAAATATATAAATGCTACTTGCTCAGTCCATTTGTATCCTTTGTGTATACATGGTTTCAAAGATAATCACCTGTAATTCTTTGCCTAGGGATGAGATACCTAGAAATTTCCCCCTCTCCACACGATCATGTTCATGGATATTGGCCTCATTCAATTCTTGATCATGCATCCATTTCTAGGAGAGACTATCTCCCAGCAGACTTCCTGGTATTCTGGCTCTTCCAATCTTTCCCCTGACTTTTCAGCAATGTTCCCTGACCCATAAGTGCAGGAGCTGTGATGCAGATTTATATATTGGGGCAAGGCTACCTATGACTGTTGATCTCTGAGTTGTGTCCATTTGTGGTTTTCTGTGATGCTCTCCATTTGCTGTAAAGAGAAGCTTCTTTGATGGTACGTGTCCAGCAAAGTGGCAGTAGTAAATTCTTCTCTACAGTCTATGATCTCTAGGACTGAGAGGCTGCCTAGATTTCCAATACCAGGTGTGATTTCCCTCTTGTTGAGTGGGCCTTTAATCCAATTAGAGAATTTGTGGTTGCCACCAACATCTGATTGCACCATTTTGCATATCTTGCCAGGCTGGTTATTGCTATGGTTCATAGATGTTGCAGCTGGATAGGGCTATTGTTTCCCTCCTTTGGCAGCTTGCATAGTATTCTCTTTTAAGCAGAGAATCCTTTTCTTGGAAACAAACTCTGACACTCAAGATGACCTAATTCATCTATAGTCAAGGTGGCCCGTACACATGTCACTTGATTTTCTATCATGTAGTGGTTTTAGGCAAGTTCCATAGCTTCTCGGCCTTTAAGTTACTCATGTCCTGATACCTTACATGCCTGTTTTCAATGACATGTGAAGTGGTTTGAAAATGACAGAATCCTATTTAATGTGTTCATGTTGGAATAGAGCATTTTTCCTATAGGCTCAGATGATGGGTTTGGGGGAAATGTTTGGCTCTTGAGGGACATTCATTTATCAATGCATACTAGATCATCATATGTTGTCATTTTGAGGATATAAGGGAAAGTAGGAGGCAAGTCACTGGGGAGGGGCTGTGTATGGCCCTTTCTTATATTTCTTTCTCTCTGCGCCTGTATGTGCCACGAGGTATGTAGCCTCTCTCAGATGTTCCCACACTGTGATGCTTTCTGTGCTCACAGACCCAACATCAACAGAACCATGGGCTACAAAACAACACCTCTGAAAGCTTGAGCTAAAATAAATTATTCTCCCCTTTAAATTGTTTACAACAGGTATTTTGGTAGAGCAATGAAAATTGACTACCACAATATGTAAAGGCATCATTTCAGTGCAGAATTCCTGAAGATCAGGCTCACCTTTCATGAGTCTGAAATGAGAGGTAGTATTGAGACCTCCCTGAGTTCACCAAAAAGGTCAGACATCAAAGGGCACTTGAACCCAACCCTCCATTTATAGCTGTGGATGTCAAGAATCAAATGCCATAGCCTATCCAAGGTCATCTCACTAATTGAGTGGCAGAAGCAAACTGAAGTCTTCAGTAACTGAATGCCAACCCAGAATCTCAAAGCAATCTGCCTCAGATTCGTTAGCACCGCCTATGTTAAAATAACAAAGACAAACACAACCAAGGGGGAATCTGCTCTCTGCTGTGCTGATAAAATTAAGTGATGAGAAAAAGTCAGTAAACACTTTCTGAGCATCTACTTTGTGGCAGACTGTCCTCCCAGGACCTGAGGCAAAAGTGTTGGCAAAGAAAACAAGATGACAGAAATGTCAAGGGCAGTCTTGACTGAGGCTAAGTCGAAGTGAGTATGATACTGCCTATGACAGATGTGCACCCGAGGGATGGCTGCTATGGGTATTTCAAGTCAATAAAACCAATGGACATAGCAGTCTAAGACTTCAGTTTGGAGCTTTTGCCTTATTGATGATAAATCTGAGAGGCTAGATCCTCCCATAGCAATTTAATGCT